GCTCCCACTGTGTATCTGCGGGGCCATATATCTCTGTGATGTGGTTGGGTGGCTGAGTCTTACGTCAAAAGACAAACAAACAAATATTTGCGCTGACAATAAGCTGAGCGAAGCGCAGAAAGTAAGAGAATTAAATACAGTACACGACTGTTCCAGCATACAAATCCGTTGCGAATTCGACAAAGTTTCAGATCTTTTTAGTTGGGGTGACAAAGAACGAAAAAATCGCTTGAGAGAGCATTAAATACGGAGCCTAATAAATACTTCTGTTATATGTTAAATATATATTGCAATAATATTTATAAAATAAACTAATACGTTTTATATTCTAATATAATATATAATAATATAATTAAATTTTTTAGTTCAATATAAATAAAAATTAATTTAAGCTATAGAAAATAATTTAAGATAATAATAAATATTCGAGGATTTTTAGTAAATTTCAATACAATTTTATAAAAAAGAGAAGAGTATTTTTTTAGGAGTATGCCAACTACTTTTAATAAGCTCTACACATAGATTCTGGAACTTTTTCAAATTCATATTTGATCAAACCATCCGGATATGTAAAACTAATCCCAAAAATTATTATTGATATTATTCAAAAACACAAATTGGAAAGAAAAGTGAGTTGTGTTAATGAGAAGCACAATTCTAGAACACTCCCCTCAGGCTTAATGGAATAAAGTCAGCGCGCTGTGAAGCGCATAGAAAGGCATAAAGCTGATGCCTGTGTGTTTGTCTGCTTTTTTCCAATACGTCATTTTGAGCGGCTTTTATGAAAAATGTATGTTTTTTAGCTGCCGAACGCAAATTGTCAGCTGCATTTCAAATGAGTTCGCGTCGAAGAAAAGGAAAACCCTTTGATAAGTAAATACAATTTTTTTTTTTTTTTTTTTGTCAACTCAAGCTCCACACGTGTGTGTGCACACATTTTTCATATCTCTATATATATATACATATTAAATATGTATTGTATATATATAATTCAATATTTATTTTCACTTTTGTCGTTTTTTCTCATTTTGTGCTCAGCCGTAAGTCGGTAACAAGGAAATTTAATCTTTTTCTTTTACACATTTCTCTACCTGCTCGCAAAATATTGTTCCATACAATCGTTTTTATTTTTTTGCCTTTTGCTATCTTTGACGAGCCCTGAAACCCAATTAGTTGTCGACGTTGTCGTCCTCGTTGAAATTTGACATCTTTGCTGCAGAAGCAGCAGCAATTGGAAATTGAAATCCAAATTGTATTTATAACGAAACGAATTGGGGGAAATATCAATAATATATATATATATATATGTCTATATGTGTGTGGGTGTTTCGTTCTGCCCTCTTTTGACTAGCGATGAGTTTTAAGTTTCTTCTCTGCTGGACAATTGATAATCAAATCCAACTTTAAAAAAATGTGGTTGCTTCCATCCCTACTGATGTGTGCGTGTGTGTATGTAGAAGGCCTAAGGGCATCCATGGATGAGTTGGCAGGACAACGTGTAAAATTGGAGTGAAGTGACAAGTAGAGAGAGAAAAGCGGCTATCATAATAATGAAGGTGCTTGTTAGGATCTAAGGAATTGATAGAGCGATGGTGATAGAGAATTAAATGCACAAGAATTGAAGCATGAAATGTAATTTAGTTAAGATGAACAAGAGAGTGTGCTTATTAGGAAATGCTTTAAAAACGAATGCACTGGAAACATTCTAGTTTCCCAGAGCTCCCATAACTCTGTCAATGCTTTTTGTCGTGTCTTTTATTTCAATTGGATCCAAAGTATATAATATTTTATGTAAATTTAAAAATTTGATATTAAAATCAGCAAATGTTGTACGGCGTTCATGTTTTTATTAAAAATTACAAAGATGTTTTGGTTCTTAACCTTAAACAACAAAATAAATAAAAAACTTTTTTTTTTTTCACATCTAAAATGATTTGCATTGAAAAATTATGAAATCGCCAAGTTCTTGGAAAAATGTAGATTTTGTTTACAGAGCTCGCCCTGGTAAATTGTTCGAGCTATGCTAACATTAGGGAACAACATGAAGGAAAACAAGTAAGAAGACTCTAGTCGAGACTGCTCGACTAGGAGATACCCTGAACCCTCTAATCTGATATTCTAATCACTCTGCACTTCTTTTCGGGACACATACATACACACGCATTAGAACGGGCTCTGCTAACTGCGCAGTAAGCAGCGACTGCGCTTGGGCTGCGCTGCAGTGTGGGCCACATTATAAGAATTTATTTGTTGAATAATTTAATTTCTAGACGTACAATCTTAATGAAACTTTTAGAGCGTAATCATATGGTAAAAATGTACATTCCAAAGCACACGTCTCTAGTACTTGAAATATGCCTTATACAAAGGTGAGGGTGAGGGGGTGGATATAGGGGTGGGGGGTAAAATACAACAAAAATCGAAATTATATAAAATACATATAAGTCTACATTAAAAATTTGGAAGCTCTAGCTCTAAAGGTGTAGGAGATATAATTAAATAACTAGCTTTCGATAAGGTTTTTAATTGATAATAAAATATCGGCAGTAATTATCGATATATAAAGAAAAACTTGATATGCGCGTGATATACACGGACCTAGGAAAAAAATTTTAAGTCTCTAGCTCTTATATCTTCTGAGATCGACGGACGGACAGACAGACGGACAGGGCCAAATCGACTCAGCTCGTCGCCCTGATCAAGAATATATATACTTTGTGGGGTCTGCCACGCCTCCTTCTGCCTGTTACATACTTTTAACAAAACCATTATACCCTGATTTCCCATTTTCAATGGGTTCAGGGTATAAAAAATGTATATACTTGATGTGCCTCTTTAACTATTTCCTAGCCACTTTCAGCTCACTTCTGTATTTTGCATCCTCCCACTTGCTCTACCTCCTTTATCCTCATTTCTCGAAATCGTTGTGAGCTTTTGCCATTTAAAACAAAATAAGCTGCATTTGAATGTGCACATGGAACTGCCCTCTGCCTATCTCTATTTTCATTAAATACCATATAATTTCCGCAAGAACTGTGTGTGCACACGTCCCCTGTATTTCTCTATACGTCCATTACATACGTCCGCCCACCCCATCCGAAACTATTTACCATACTCTCTAATTACAATTGCGCGCTGTCTCGGCCTTTGCGCTGGTCACATTTGCTGTATGTGGACATCTTGTAGCCCCCAAGGAGTGCAGCTTGGAGTTGGGCGTGCCGTTTCGTTTCATGCCGCTCAGTCAGTGTTGGGCAACTAAGCTGTCAACAAATTAACTGTAACACTCTGAGCTGCTGCTCCACTGAGCTGAGCTGCCTCTACATTTTGGCCATGTTCTCGGCCCGGCCGTGCACATGTGTCGTAAATTGCATGCCCCAAAGGAGCTGCTAAAGCGACAAACCGGCAAACCGACAAGCCGGCAAAGCGACAACAACAACAACAACAACAATAAAGACAAGCGACAGCAGCAGCTGCCGCAGCTCTCTGCATGAATTGAACAATTAGCAAAATTGCTTCAGACCTCCCCAACAAAAAAATAAATAAAAGGAACAAAAAAAAAAAAAAAAAAAAAAAAACTTAAAATAAACTGCCAAATGATTTAAATTTCTTTTCTTCTCAACTTTTATACACTTGCCTATGGGTCTTACAGTTTTGGCCAAATATTCGAATATGATAAGTCTAAGTAAGTGGAGCTATAACAATTGACGGATTGACTGACTGATAAAGGTCAAAAAGTCCACTTCCCAGCTAAAGGGATTGGATTTACAAAAGAAGCTGTTTTGCAATTTGTGCAAATATTATTATGTAAAACTAGATTAAATTTCATTTAACTTAGATGTGCAACAACAATTTATGTAATTTGCAAACCATTTAAAATGTTTTGTAAATATTATTTTATTCAAAGCAAATACACTGTCCGTCATGGCACGTAAACAAAGTTGTAAATAAATATTTTGAATGAGCAGAAATGTTAATTTCATCTATATTTTGGTTATTAATGATGGATGAGTTAGCTCATGATTTGATTTGTGATAAATAAAAATATGCTAAAAATATTTAGCAAAGACATAATTGAGATTCGTTTATATGTTTCTTGTTTAGATTTCGATTCTTCATATGTTAAAAATTATTAAATATATATATTTTTTTCAGTATGTTCAATAATCTTTGATTTAAGTCCATTCGTGGTATAGAGTATCTAATAAGTCGTATATGAAAAATAATTCTATGCTTAGCCATCATTTTTTCGGCCATGTATTTGTGTGGGTTGGTGCTTCGGGGGTTAGGGGCGACAGTCATAGCCAGGTGTGGGTGAGTTTTGTCGCTATAAACGATATACATTTTGTATAAATAACGGCGCTACGTGCGGTAATGATGTCGACACGTGACAAGCGAGCGCAGCCAACGGCTCCAGGTAGACAAAAGGCGCTGAAATGAGATATTTTTGGCGAATATTTATGATGGCATCCGGGCAGGTGTATATAAATTTGCATGAGCTACTGCGCTGCGATTGTGTGTGCGCTGTGTAGGAAACAGTTCACAAAGCACTGCAGCATATAAACAAATAAACAAACAAAACATAAATTTTTGCGCACACACACACACACACGTCCACATACACAGACACACATAAGCACACTCGCTCCTCAGTCGGCGTATGTCCTGTGGAGCGCTTGTCCTTATGCTTGGCACGTTTCTTGGCTGTCGCCGTTTCCTCTTTTGGCTGCTGACTTTTGGCAGAGTTCTCCCGTTGTGTTGTTGTTGTGGTTTTTTTTTCCATGTTTCATGTTTCGACTCCGTTGGGGCTTGACATTGGCTTTGATAACAATAATAATAATAATAATATGAAGGTATAATAACAATCATTTTGTGCCCACATAAATGCGGCTGCAGCAGCTCCCAGGGCTCACCTGCCACGCCTACGAGCGCCCGGTCCTGCAATCGGCCCACCCATAAGAAAGTCTCTTAAATTTTGTTTTTATTGACTGATGGAAAATTGGTTTATTTATTGCAATATTTTTATATTTATTGTTGTGCCACATAAAACATTTTCATACATTTTCCAAAAAGAAATAAATAAAATTATGCTGAAGAGGCCTCTCCCAAAGAGATTTCCCATTCCGCCAGTGTGAGCCACGTCGAACGCTGAGGAATATAAACAAAATTTATTGTTAGCCACGAGTTTATTTGCCAAGACTTTAGACTAATCAAATATTCTTATCTTTTTATCTCTTTCTTATAGCTACAAATGTGCTGATCGAAACGCTTCAGCTGCCTTAGAGTTTAGATGCGAGCAACGAGAACAACAAAGGTCGAAAATTATGGCGATATTTAATAACGTGAGTAGCGTGCGATTTCTTATACGGTTTGACTAAATACTTAACGAACTCGTTTTATTGTTAAAATTCAAACAATATATATATATATAAAGATATGCAGTATTTATAGATGAACAAGTCAAAATATAAAAATAAAAAGTTAGTTATAAATAAAATAATAATTATGCGATATGATAAACATATCGTTTCTATGAATCACAAAACAAATATAATTTCAGGTACATAAAGAAATATTATGATAAAATATGACTAAATATTTCGCTGATATTTTCTTAAACCTTTCTATGAGCAATAGTAAACTATCTCTAGAGCGCTTTTAATTCTCCTAGAATTTTTTCAACAATCTGGTAGCTCCAAAGGTTAGTTGGCTGCGTCAGATTACTTCTTTGTGACTGAATGGAGATTATTATTATTGGTTAATGCCATTGTCAAATTGTCTTTTATGAATTAAAAACTCTTCTCTGCTATACTATATTAAGTACTCATGGCTAAAGGTTTGTTATACTTAATCTTTATTATTAGATTTGATAACTGATGAAAAAAATTTACTCTAAAAGAGATCAGTGAATACATGCTCTATCTTGTACAAAGAATAAAACTAAGGAATATACTTAAGGCATATAGATAAGTACATATATTCAAGATCTGTAAAATATAATTTAATTTATTATAGTTTTTATTGCAAGATCAAAAAATTCAAGTTGAATCTAATATTGGTCTGTACGTATGATAGATATACAAGTCTTTAAGTATGGTATATAAATCTTTAATTCCTGTTTCTATATAGAAAGTTTCACTTCAACTATCCATATGAATCCTACAAATCTGAACTAAAATCATAAAGATTATTCTTTATTCTTTTGACCAGCATCTTCAGTTGCTTTAGCTCCACTACAAATACTTTCCACTTTCCCACTAATTGCAATTTTCTCTGATGTGCCTCAATGCTCTCCATTCCTATTCCACTCGTGCGATAAATCAAAACGCTACGCAGTTATGGTTGCTGTTGTTGGTCAATGAGAAGCAGCAGGAGCAGGAGCAGCAGTAGCAGGAGGCAGATTTTGCATATCGCATGTCTGGTTGAGCCTTTTGAGGTTGGGCTGTGGTCTCATTTGTCAAGTGGTGCCAGATCTTTGGCCACATAACTGAAGGCCATCAAATCGCTGCCAGCTGAACGTATAATTTGGCCATTAGGCAAGAGGAAGGCACAAAGCAAAGCAGAGCTACGTGCCAATGCAAAATCGAGTTGGATTTTACCGAGTGCCTAGGCTCTTTTCCCACGAATTCAGTGCAAATACAGTTCATCGGGAGTCGATGCTAGGATGGATGTGGGATGGTCAAATAGAGTGAGAGCGAGAGAGAGAGATTGAGAGTGTGAGAGCGGAGAGGGGCATTCAATTGCTGGGCAGCGCTTTATTGAACAGCTTCTGTTTTATGGGCAGCGCCTACATTTGCCAACCATAATGCTAACTTCTTTTTCTCTCACTCTCACTCTATCTCCCTCTCCCTCTCCCTTTCTAACTCTATCTCTGGTCATAAAGTAATCTTTTGTGTGTGGCTGTGTGTAGAATGCGGGCTTTAAGCAGCTGCCCCATTGCCCCCACCAATTTCTCTATTGTCACCCTCCTCCCTCGAGCGCCACCTTTAGCCTATTCTGTTGCAACTTTTGTTCGGCGCCCGGACATGTGTGGAGGAGGATATCAAGGATATCAGCTGGCACAAAAGGCAACAAATTAAACTGTTCTATTTGCAAATGAATTGTGCGTGTCTGTGCTGCGTAATTTTGCTAGAAAACTTTGCAATAGATACCGACACTGAGAGAAAATCTAAGCGAACTCTGTGATAAAATCTAAATAACTGTATTCTATGATGTAATACTTGGCAGCTTTTGCTTTTGGTATATACCAGACTAGTTTGGCCTCAATTCGAAAAGAAACTGCATAAAATTCTCTACAATTTTTAGAGCTTTGAGCTCTGGACACTTAGATAAATGGATTATCTAAAAATTTCGCACATTATTGCTCATCTAAATCTCAGTCTAAATAACTTTCATGATGGTTGATTACTTAATCGATATTTAAAATTACAAAAACTGGTAACATTTTTTTCTCCTAATCAAAGAAATATTTAATTGTAATTGTTTTAGTGTTATATGGTTTTAGTATTCTATTGTTGTATTGTTTTAATGTTTAATGAAGTTTGGTTAATTAATATTCATCAATTGTATTAGGTTACTAAATTTGAATGGCTCTATAAAAAAAAACAAGTAAGAACGTTGCAGTCGGGCGTTACCGACTGCGAAATACTCATTCACATCCCATAAGCAATTTAGTTGCTAAGTTTCGCTTCTGTAGAAAATTCAGTTTTTCCCGATTTGCCACGCCCCTAGTAGTAGTAGAGCTAACGACACCCTAACTGCAAAATTTGAATGCTTACGCTTAAAAAATAAAAAAATTACAGGGTATTTTTCGATATGCCACGCCCTAAAGATGCGTAAAAATTATTTTTGGGTCATCGATAGAGGAGGTTACTAGTAACTCAACTATCCAAATTTGAAGCTTCTAGCTATTATACATTAGGAGATATAAACTTTTGCGGTTTGCCACGCCCCCTGAGGGCGCACATATATCCGTCGAGGCTTTTTGGTCTTGCGTGATCAGCTCGAGTATATATACAAAATTTGAGGCCTCTAGCATCGAGTGTCAAAAATATAGCAGAATTTAAAACATCACTATATCTTCAAGTCCCATTTGCCACGCCCCTAATGGGCGTAGACATATAAGACATAAATATAAAATTTCAGCGTTCTAGCTGTAAAACTCTTGGAGATTTGCCACGCCCCCAATGGGCGTATATATATCCGCCATAACTTGTGATCTTGGGTGGTCGACGCGGATCTAGTGGGCGGATTTTAAAATTTTAACACTCTAAATCGGAGATATAACGCCGAAAGAAACTGCGTTCATACGGACAGACAGAAAGACGGACATTGCACAAAACCAATATACTAATATACTTTCGTGAATGAGTATAAAAAGAAAATAAATAAAGAAATAGGGCAATATTAGCATTATTATTAGTTATAGAACTATCATTGTTTGTTAATAAATCTTTTTCAGTCGATTACTTTCATAAAATGCCTTCCTTTTAAATATACAAGTCCTTGACTTTTATACTTTTTCTACGATTCCTTCGAGGTAAGGTCCTTAAAAGGAACAGTAGAAAATGCATTTAAAAAGTGTATATATTAAACTCTTGCCTTTCATCTCTTTGCTTTGAAAACTTTTCAGTAAATTTGATTGCCCAACAACGAATATATGTCTACTTAGTGTGGCCCCAATCAGCTTGTTATTTTCTTTGAGTGCAGCCCGCTGGCACAGCCCTAACTCTTAATATGTTGTAAAATGTTGGGTATAACCCAATAGCTAAGCTAAGCAAATACACACACACACACCCACACACACCCACACACACAAATAAAATAAGTAGCTGCAATAGAAAGGAAACGAATTGAAAGCAAAGGATTCTAGTGTCTTTGTGTGCGTGCTTGTGTGTGCATGCGTGTGTGTGTGTGTGTTGCTAAACTTTTGTGTGGGCTTCTGCTTTTGCGGCATTTCATACGCTCAATTGCTGTTGGTTAGCCAACACTGGCTGCGTGTCCTGGTCGCCAGTCAATTGAAAATGAAATTGCTAAAACTTGCCAAGTTCTTGCTCCTGCTGCTGCCCCTTTCCCCACGCCCTCTCTCTCACCCCCTCTCGCATTCTGTGTGTTGCTCAAAGCAGATACGTGCGGACAAGCATGCATAATGAGCAGCAGGAGCTGAAGCTCCTTGAACTGTGCCACCGCCAGCGCCCCTCTGTCACCCTCGACTGCTGCTGCCACACCCATGTTTTCGAGCATGCGGGCAGGTAACCGTTACCTCAGCAAATTAATACTAACAGACGCGCAAAAGTATGCAACATCAAATGGCCCAGGCGACGTGAGCCCCCAGCTTTTATGACACTGCGCAAAAAGTGGGGGCAGCTTCTCGCCCATCCCACCTATTCAGACCGTCTTTTGGCTCGTAAAGTTGCAGCTGCACGCTGCACGCTGCACGGGACACATTTTGGGGCAGCTCCTGCTTATCGCTTGACACGTTTTGTTGTTGTCTTTATTTTTCCTTTATAGATTTGTTTGCCTTTACGGAGTATACCCCTCTCTTTCTTTCTCCACCCTCCTATTTTTTTCTGAGTGCATTTGCTTGTTGCGCTTAGCGTTGGCTACGCAGTTTACGAATTTTTACGATTCAACTCGGCAAATTTATTTATATTTTTGTACTCATGTGCGAAAGTTTTCATTATGGTCACAAAGTGACAGATTGTTCCGCTGTATATGTATATGTACAGGGCGAATGGGAGTGTAGTCAAAACGGATTAAGCACATAAAAATGCAGACATTATGGGAACGGGCTTTACGACCTCCCCCCTATTTTGGACCTGTTAGATCCGTTTTTTACATTACTTGAAAAGGTGCCTTTAGCTTTATGAATCTTAAATCGTAATACATAGATGAGGTTAGGATATAAGTTTGCGGATGATTCCTTTTAGAAATTGAATAATATATATATTTGCATTTCATTTGGATTTTCCAACTCAAAGAATTTTAATACGTCTTAATTGAATATGCAATGAGAGAAGTACAATTGATAAATAATTTAAAATTGTGTGGGATATGAGGAAAGTAATATACCCTAGATATGAATATATAAGTGCAAAAGTTAAAAAATATAAATAAAATAAGCAATGATAAATGTGCACTAAAATATAGTTGAAAATATATTATATATTTAATTTATGTACGCAAAAATATATATTATATTTATTTATTTTTCATTGCAAATTTTTGTAATAATTTGCAGTAGTTTTTTTTCTTCTCTTGAAGAATCAGGCATAATTTTGAAAGAAAACTCACAAGTTCATATGAAAAACAAAATAGTTTTTTTTTTTTTTTTTTTTTTTGTTTTGTCTCTTAAGAAAACTATGTTACGTAATCGTAAATAATTTGAATATATACATTTATAAATTTAAAAATAATCATAGTTTTGGATTACAAACAATATTGGGATAAAAACTCTGTCAAACCATCGTAATAAAAATATGGCTTCAAAATTGAACTTTCTTCGTTTTTCTTTTTTAAGTAATCCTGCAAGCTCCAATTAAAATCATTTTCTTTTTATAAATAAAATGCTGTAAAATAATAAAGCATATATATTCACATAATGAATTAAATGATAATTAAAAGAAAACACAACGTATTACATAATATAAATGTTCTGTTTACTACATTGAACACGAAATGCGTACAAAGTTTTTCTGGAATAATAAAAAAGGAAAGACAAAACTTACCATTTGCTATTTGCAATTGGATTTTCCTGTGAATTTTCAGTCTCGATGCATTTTGAAGTATTTTCCTATAAAGAAAAAACAAACAGAATAGAGAAAATAATTACGAAATGCTCAGTTTTCATTGAAATTTGTGATTGGACAAGAATTTTCCTTTATCAATTTGTCCTCTTGACTAAAAATGTGTTTTTTTCCCCAACTTACAATTTGTGCAATTGTGCTTGTTTTTCAATATATATGTATGCTTTTGTATGCTTATATAAACATATTATCATAATCCTAATTTTTGTGTTTTGGTCACAAAAGAAAAATATTCAACAATTTGCTGCAAATATTTTACCGGGCTGCATTTGTGTCAACTTTTGTTTTTGTTAATTTTCCATTTTCGGCTTTTCGTTTTGCGCATTGAATGTGAAAATATTTGACATTTGCATTTTTGGCTTTTAAATCGGGCCAAAAATATGCCTGAAAACCTGAACGCATCCAATTTGCCAAATCATATTTACATACACACGCATAAATATAGTTGTATATAAGTATGTATGTCGAGACATGTGTTTATCGAATACAAATCGAATGGAAAGTTGTATTTGCATGCGTCATTTAGGCTTAAATACTCTGTTGATATATGAATTGTCATCAAAAGCGACATGGGATAATGGCCACTGATGGGACTTGTATTGAGAAGAGCATATATGTATATGCGATTGTTTGTATGTGTATGAGAATTACACAATGAGATACATTTGGTGTGACATTCAAGGTTTTCTCTATGCCTTCATAGAGGTAAATTATGATGGAAATGGAAAATTTGCCAGATAAAATAGAAGCTATTGTAATTAAACTATTTAATTGAAGCTCTTATATTTATATATTTATAATAATATAATAAATTAAATAGAGGGTTAGAATAGAGTTGTACAAATGTTTGGCTCTATTTGAAGAACTAATTATAAAACAAAATGTAAAATTATAAAAAGTGCTTCATATTGAGACTCAGACGATATCAAACATGTTTTTTTTTTTTTTTTTTTTTTAATAATAGTTGTAATAAAATTTGCCTACAACACCTAGCTCAATCTTTCGTTGGATCGAAGTACTATTAACTTTCACTTCGCTGAAAAAAAAAAATATATATTTTTAAATTTTGTTTTAACAATAGAAGAATACAAGTCTACAAACTGTATGCACAAAATAAGTAAATATATAGAAAATTTTCAAACTTTCATTTTACACATAAAAAAAATGTTTTTAGTTGGATAATAAAAGTCTAAACATTGTATAAACAAAATAAATTAATCTATGGGAAATGCCCGTACGATTCCAACTGTGTAAATATAAATGTTGCTTTCAAGCTGATTGGAATGTTTTTGCAGAATATACATATGTAGATATATATACAGTAGCGTGCAAAAATAAGTGTATATTCATAAGATTTGACTTTCATCAGGTATACAAATAGAACTATACAGGAAAAGCGCATTTATTTGATATCTTGTTTATTAGTTTGTTCTTAACAAATAAAAATTAACAAATAAAATTGGAAATAATTTTTGTCGTTTGCGATTCACAAAACACGTCATAGAAATATACAGTTTACTGTATCGAATCTATTTTAATTAATTTCATTGGATTCATTTTGCCCATTTATAAATAGTTTTACGCGAAGTCAACTGGTATATGAGATTTTTTACAACCAAAACTCAATAATTTTTTAAGGATGTTGTATTATATTTTTAAGCGGTTCATTCTCTATTCTTACACTGTCACTCTGTTATTTTCATAATTTTCACCAACTGTTTTTCCACTTTGATGTGAGCAGATAAATCAAGGGAACAAATCATTTGCTGGCCAAATTTCATTTGCTATAAATCAAACAGCAAAAACAAAAACTGCGCTCAAATTAATCAGTTTCGATTGCAGCACTCGCACTTTAATTGGCCCTAACGATGCCTGAGTGTGTGGGTGTGTGTGCACACACACATAAAAATTTATCACGCCTCCAACTGTGGCAAGGAGCAAAGGACCCGCCGCCTAATTCAAACATTCGAATTTACGTTAAAACCTCATAAAAATGCGCGCGCCAAAAAAAGGAAGAAAAGCGAAAGTGCCGTTATGAAGTTCATTCGTTTGTTGATTGTGAGTGTGTATGTGCGTGGGTGTGTAGGTGAATGTGTGTATTTATACTCACATGAACTAAGGAAAGGAGCAGTCGCTATCAGCAGGCAGCATCCATATATACATTCATCTATATATATATATATATATATATATGTGTGTGTGTATATAAATATATACAAAATGTTTTTCCCACGATGGAATTGTCGTTTACATATCGTCCTGGCTGTGTGTGTGCCTGTGTCCTGTGTCCGTGTTCTGGGCGCTTGCCACGTTTGCCGTCTAAACGATTTACGACACTTTTGCCAACTGCTTTGCCGCACACATTTGCAATATTGTTTCTGCTAACTGTGTGTGTGTGTGTGCTTGTGCTGTATCTGTGTGTTATTAGCATTAAACAAAACCAACACAGACAGCTACAAAAACTTGGCAAAAACAGCAACGAATGCCGCACACGTTCGTTTTTATTATGTTAAATGTCTCCTGAGGCAGCACACACACACTAACAACAACAACGACAACAACAAGAACTTCGAACCGTAAATAGCGTTCGCTTTGGCTTTGTAACTGTCTTTCTTTGTATTGCGACTCTGTCTCTGCGTTTGTCACATTTCACATAAACTCAGCTTAAACGCGCGCGCCAAAATGTAGGCAACACAAATTAGCTCGCAGCAACAGCAGCAGCCGCAGCAGCGAGCGCTGCCTTTCGCTTTTGCACCTGCCGACCTTAGCACACTGCACGCCGCTCCACTAAAGACTGAAGCGGCAGCGCTTCACAAGCGATGCGAATTGGCCAGCTTCGTAAAATTCACCCACGAACGAAGCCTCACGACACGAACGATGAGCCGAGGGTTTGGGCAAAGAGCTTTCGCTGCTTCGTGCTGTGTTGAGTTTGACTTCTAGTTTAGCTTCAGCCTGCTCAAAGAGACTGCTAGGGCCCTGCTTTGAGTGATTTTTAGCTCTGTGCTCTACTGTTCAGACAGCTCAAAGAGTGTAACGCTTGCATTTGTTGCGAGCTGAGTTTATTTTTGAATTGTACTCTGCTAAGGGAGCTGCTCAAAGAGTCTGCCAGTTGCTTACAGTTGGATGTTGAGTTTAATCGTAGCTCAAAGAGCTGCTGAGCGTGACATTGAGTTGAGTTGTGTGCTTCTCTTTACTCTTGCATTGAAAGCAAAATAGCTTGGGTTTACTTAGCTCGCCGTACTAAATTGTTTGAGCTCTTCAGCTGTGTGTTCTTTGCTGTGCAATCTGCTCAAAGAGCTAATGAGTGTACAATTTACTTCTCTTTCCATTGAGCTGAGTCACTTGGCGTTTGAGGGTTTTTAATATACCTTGTCAAAAGAATTAACTTTGAGATGCTCTTACTTACGTTCAGTTAAAGTTTATTTTTGAGTAGTTTAAGTTACTCCAAATTACTCGAGTCAAACGTTGAGAGTTCTTTCATGAACAGAATTGAGCGAAAATCTTAAAAAGAAGTATTTTAGCATATTGTTTTAGTGAACAAGAATTTATTTTTAAAAATTATGCTTAAATGCTGAACAAAGTTTATTGAATATGTAACAATAAAATATAATTGTTTATTAAAGCAAAAATATTTCATTTATTTTATTTATTTTATTATATTAACAAAAAAAATTGGAAAAAATTATTTAACAGATATAAACAAATAATTTGTATTTTTATAGTAAAGCCTAAAATATTTTTTATCTTTTTTACGATGTCTAAAACTACTTTTTGATTTCATTCTATTTTTTAATAAATAATTCCGAAATTTTTGTTAAGAGTTGCTATTTTAGAACTCTGAGCCAAGTTTAACACACTCAACTCAACTCTTTTCGCTCAGTTGCAATGCTTAGTTGCGAGTCTCTTGGACTGTGCACTGCTGCATTGAGTTGCCTGCTTCGCAGATGCGCTCTTTAACTTCATTGAGTATTAATTTTCACTGAGTGGCTTCATATTTCAATTTGCGCTCTTCGTTTGGCATAGCTTTGAGTTGCTTTCTCTGTCGCTTCGTGTGTCACTTCGGTTGCTCGCACGAAACTCACCACAGTCGCTGGCCGAATGCTTTTATTCGCTCACGAACGCTCACTCCGGCTCGGCAGCCGAGCACACGCTAAAACACAGTCACACACACGCACACTCACACACTCGCCATCTGGTCGGCGCGGCTGGTGCTGAGCCTTGGCCAATCGTAAAAGTTTTGTACGTATTTAGTACAATTTCGGGATTTGGCAGGATGTAACCAGCCTGTAAGAAACTGAGCGCGCGGTGTGTGAACAAAATACATAATAAAACAAATAAAAAAGAAAAGCAACAACAAGGTACAACAAAAATTACAAAAAAAAAAAAAAAAAATAATAAAAATACAAAAAAATATTAAAAATTGTAATAACGAAAATTAATGAAAATAAATTGCGTGTGTTGGCAAGTTTGTTTATGTTTAAAAGTCTCGTAGTGCAAAAACGTTAACATCTTCGGCTTTGCCTCGGTTAATGTTCGTTAAGCCCCACCCCTCGCGCACCCAGCCCCGCTGCAGCCAAGCAACGCGCCGTGTTTACCGTGTGCCGGTTAACGGTTCTTATTTCGCTTGCCATTTTACTACTAGTGTTTATTTTTGTCCTTCTGAGGCTTCAAACGCTTGAAAAACTGGTAAACATTTGATTATTAATTTTGAAATAAATGAATGCCAAGAATAGAGCTCCGTGTGTGTGTGTGTGTGTGTGTGTGTGTGTGTGAAGATTACGCGACATTTCAGCTTATGCAATGCGTAGAAATTTGACAAAAAGAAAGTAGCTATATAAAATGAAACGATTTCCAGAGCAATTGAGAAGGGCAAGGGTCAGGTCAGGGCTGTGAGCGAGGAGGGGAGGAAAGGGACAGCTACGAAACTAACCCAAAATCTAAATCTGTTGTGTTTGCTGTTGTCCTGTGTCATTGTCCTGGCCGAGTAGCTGCTGCCGGCTGCTGTTGCTGCCGCTGCTTGGTCCTTGGTAATAGTGTCGTTTCCTTTATTTGTGCCCGCATTGACTTTTATGTTACCTTCTTCGCCTTTTTTCTCTCTTACAATTGAAAATTCAATTGATTTACAAAATGAAGCTGTGTGTGTGCGTGTGTGTGTGTGCGTTTTATTTTTTTTATCTATTTTCATTTTGGCTTTTACGAGCAGCACTCTCTAGCTTAAAGCAAGCGTTAACCGTTTTGCTGTTTTGTAGATAGGTCAAAGGGGGGGCGTGGCACGGCGTTTGTCGCCCAGCAATTTGCTGCCACTGATGTCCACTCTGCTGCTGCTTCTTCTTCATCTTCTTTGTTTGTGTGTGTGTGTTTGGTGGCGGCCTAAATCGTTTTTGGGCGCAGATTTGTGATTTTTTGCTGCCTTTTTTTTTTTTTGTGCTGCCGCTGCTGTTGTTGTTGTTGACTGTGCAAAAGGCATTGAAATGTTTGCTCTGGACATTGTCCTCAAGTTTTGTGGAACAGAAGCCGGCGAGAAAAGGATGCGCCAGAAATTGACACAGTTAGGCTTTTTTGCTTTTTTTTTTTTTTTTTTTTTTGCTGTCTTTCATTTTCGTTATAGATTTTTGTTGGTCGTAAGTGAATTTCCAGGCAGTGAATTGTAAGTGTAACTGTGAAAGCGCACAAAGGCAGTTTTGATAGATTGCTTCTGGCCAAAAATTGAGTGTCAATTGCAGTTATAAAGCCAAGCAGTTGCGGCTTGCATAATATATGATAAATATATGCAACATCTATAGAACGGTTCATCAGAGTAGAGCAAAAGTTGTCCTTAGGACTGAAATAGCTAAAAGAGCTAAGATATTAAAATATATATGGGTGTATTTACGTGTGTAAAATGGAAATATGGAAATGTAAGTGAGTTTTATATCAAACAACATGAGAAAATTTTAAAGGGCACAAAATATTATATTCACATGAAAAAGAATCAGGCTGGAGTTGGGGAAGCAAGTTTATGAAAAGAAAACAAACATTAGTTTTATATTGCAGATGATCTAAATATGTTTGTATATATGTATGTGCTTGCATCATATAATATTTATGTACAAATTATCAAATTGATAATTCATTTGACTATGCAATTGTTTTTTATTTTTATTTTTTATTTTTTAACGTAATCATATTTTAAGAGCACAAGTTAACCTCTTATATTATTCGTTTACTTTATTTCCATTAATAGTAATTTTTTTCTTAAACATGCTTTGAGCTACTTTAGTTAATGCATGTAAAGTGAAGAAGTTAAAGTCAAGCGCTCTTCTATGCTTCCTCTCCCATTTCGCAGGCTTCAATAATGCATGAGGACTCAGACCTCTCAGGCTCTCTCTCTGGCGGATGCACTTTTTCGTTTCTCTAATATTCGAACTCTTATGAATCGCATCAAAGCAGCAAATCGCAGCCAAGCATTGGATTTGTAATCAACTCTCAGCTCACTAGGGAAAAGCAGAAGCAACAGCAAAGCAAAAAAAAAAAAAAAAAAAAAAAAGAAAAGAAAAGGAGAAACATTTAGTTGGCGCATTAAAACTGCAAATGCTAGCGCTTGGTCCTTTTTCATGTCCTTTGACAACTGCTGCTGCTGCTGCTGCTACTTTGTAGCATACTTTTGTGCTGCTTTTTATGGTTGTCCTTTTTTCCTGGTTTTTGTAGCATTCGATTGTTTGCCATAGAGATAATTTGCAGTTAAGCCAAGCACAAGCAGCTCAGTTATGTTGTTTTACATTGTTAGTTGGCTTACAAAAGGCAAAGGACCTGCCAGGACATCAACTGTTAAGCGCCTGATGAAGTAGTTTCACACAGTCTTACGCAGTTTTACAGTTGTTAACGAGTCCTTCGCATTTTTGATAAGACGCTGCTTAAAGCTGCCTTAAAGCAACGGCACACTTAAAGCTCCTTTTCGTCCTGATCTCGTTGCTGTCATTCCTTCGTCTCTCGCATTCCCACATTCTTCTTCACATTTCGAGCACTTTGTTTAAGCAACTTTTCTCGTTTCGGTGTCAAGTGTTTTTATTAGACCCGACGCAGGGGAAAAAGGAAAAAAAATAAGGAAAATAAAAAAATATAAGAAAATACACACACAAAAATCAACAAAATGAAAATAAGGAAAAAGTGGAAAATATGTGGTAAAATGAATATGGAAAATATTACAGCTACTGTTGTCGACAGCTGCCGCCACGACTCTCCCCCTCCCCCACCGACTGCGCCTATTTTACCTGCGTGCTTTTTGTCGTCTTAGCTTCATAAAAGCTGTTGCTTTTTCTTATGGACATTTCTGCTTTTCTTTTCTTTTCTTTTTGCCTGCGCACTATCAAAGCAATATTTAAATGAAGTTTTGCGAGAGCGCACGCAGATTTAAATATCCTGTAAGTTAGCGTGCAGGAGGGGTAGCCTAGACGGCCACATCACTGCCTTTCTTATACCCCCATCATTGTCCACACGGTATATGACAGTCCAGCACGCCCTGATTTAGGCATTCGTTGGAAACTCATTTTGTAGGCACTCGACACGCATACGACATGTGTGACAGCTCAAGTTCTGCTTGCTGTCAACTTTAACCATTTGCAGACATTTGTTTCCTTTGTTTTATGGCATTATACACTTAATATACAGCTATACATGATATATATATATATATATGGATATGTATGTGTGTATGTATGTATGTATGTCTGCTTTATCGGATGTCATTAGCCTAATTGACAAACGAAACAACAGAAACGAACGAAATAAAAATGAATAAAACAGAGTCAGCAAGATTTCAGAGTGTAAATAATGAGAGGGAAAAGTATATAGAAAGACAGATAAGAAATTATCTGTTTGCCTTTAGTATTTTCGTATTTGCATAGAGTTTGTGTGAATAAAATATAGTTAACTGAGTTATTAATCAATTAGTCTTGTCAAGCGCTCAATACGCGAGGGAAAGCCATTTCTGTTTATTTTCTTAGTTCAAATAAAACTGGAATTATCAAATTTCAATGCAGTCAACTGTGAAGAGTGCATATTTCAACAGTAATATTTATATTACCTTAATTAAAATATTTTAATTGCACTTACTTCAATATGAAAGCTTTGATCAACTTATTTTAAAATATGGTTTTAAATGATTTTTTTTAATATTTTAGTAAGGAAAGGAAGTTATATTTGAATTGACAGACAACGAATTATACCGCGTCTGTTACGTTTTCTTCATGATTCATGATTATTTATTCATGATTAACTTAGATATGGTAAATTTACGTATCGTTAAATATCGATATGCATCCCTAATGCAGAGAATTATAATCGCAGCCCAATTTACTATGGATAAATTTACTATTGGATAAATTTATTAATGACTCTGTGCATCAATGGCCGAAAACAAAGAAATGAAGTTTAATACAAAATTTAAAACACCACCAGAGCTATGATTATTCAAAATTTTATGGAAAAAATGAATATTCGGAATTTGACGAATTAGACTCTATATTCTGAAGGCTCTGATAATTCAGAAAGACGTTTAAAGCAGTAAAATATTATCATCAGATGCCGATGGGATCTCTTAACTATATCCTGTCAGCTAAAATATAAATTTAATTGAAAATCTTACTTGATTTTGATATTCCCAAAGTGGTATTCAATATGTATATATAAAAAATCGATTGAGGTCTGGAGTCTAGTTTCTAATTAAAATAGAATAAAGTAAAGAACTCTCCACATTGAATATAATTTATATTGTAATTCAAATGAACATACCTATATATATCTGAATAAATATACATATATATAATGCATAAATTGATGAAGATTTATTAAGTGACATCAACTATATTTTGCTGGAATTACCTTAGTCATTTAGCTTCACTCCACTCTATCCGCTTTATCATCCGAGGAATACGTAATTGAAAACATTTTACCTATCTACACTGGAACGATTGCACTGTAGACACAAACGGTAAATTGCCTCAATTTATCCATCAATCCATTTTCTCTATTATAAATTTCAATTCAGCAATGGCTAAGCAAAGTTGCTCCTTATGGCTTATCGTTGATCTTCGTGTGTGGGGCGTGTGCTGAAGGCTTTATTGTAAAGGTAACCTATAAAGGTTTCTAGTATATTTAGTTAGTATATATAGTATATACTATATACTGTATGTACGAGTGCATTTGCGGCCCTTGTCTTTATCTTTTGGCGATAATAACAGGCCGTGTGGCATAAAACCCATTAAATCAACTGGCACTTCGGCGACTATGTCTACCTCTCTCTCTCTCTCTTTGTCTACGGTTCGTTCTGCCCACTGTTCACATACGAGTCCTTGTAGGCATCTGATTGGCTACGCCCACTCGGTTGTTTGTTCTGCTTCTTCTTATCGCACCGCCTGATTGTTGTCGTTGTTGTTGACGTTTTGCAATTGGTGTTGAAAACTTCAGTTGTGAAAATTGGGTAACGCTCAACGAGGATGACGATGACTGCAGTCAGCATTAAGTGCTGCGCCCTCTCTCACTCTCTCTCCTCTCGCTCGCCCACACTTAAACGCCCCCTCTCGCTCTCTCTTTCGGGTTTTCTATACCTGGCTGTCAGTAACAAAAGAAAATTTTAATTTTTATGGCGTTTTTTTTGTGTGTGAGTGTGGGTGTGTTTTTTTTTTCGAGGGCTTCGTGTGCCTCTGTGCTTACAGCAAGTGCCAGAGCCCTGAAAAAAATCCAATTATTTTAAAACTTTTGACAACTGCAACAACAACAACAACAACAAAAACAAAAGCAGCGGCAGCAGTAGCTACTCCTGCACGGGCAACAATGCAAGGACTATGAAAACAATAAGAAACGCAACAACAACAACAACAACATCGAGTTGGCAGCCATTATAACTTCACTTGAAAAGTTTAATTGATTTTTACAAGTGCATATAGAGCATAAAGCATATATATATATAAATATATATATATGTGTGTATGCATGTATATACATATGTATACGTATTTACCTAGACTGCAACTCAAGCTCTGCCACGCCCACCTACAGCCCAGCAGTTTAACTCTTTTTTTTTTTTTTTGGTTGTTGTAAACAAAATGAGCGAGAACCTAGGGCAAAGCCAACTGAAGGAAACTGAAATCAAAAGTAACAAAGCTCATGCCATTGCGCAGCGACTTTGTATTTACCTTTTGGCAGTGCCTGCCAACCTGTCCGAGCGTCTGTCCCGCCTGTCTGCAAGTTCGAGAAGTTGGCGCTGTTTGAAGACATTTTAAGCTGAATTTAATTGCCAGCAGTTGTTGCAATTATATTTGCTTTTTGTTTTTGTTTGTCGAATTCGGATTTTTGTTGCTTTTCGCATAGAGTTCGTCTAGTTCGTAAAGCTCTCTAATAATAGGCCTTGACTAGGGGCGCTGCCTGTCTGCCCACCTGCTAGGTGCACTCTTAAGGCCTGCCACTTGTGCTTAATTAGCTTCAACTAGAGTGCAAATTGGTCTATTTACATGCTTCAGACCTTCCACAAGAAAAGTAAAAAAATGTCAAAATTGCTCTAAATATATTTACATCTTATTGCGATTTTTGTTAGATGTATGTGTATGTGCAGTAGCATTTGAAACGTCGTGTGGAATAGATATACATACAAAATAATACGATAAATATATTTGAAAGACTTATTCATTAATTGTTAGTCAATAGAAGAAGACATTGCGTCAAATCACTGGCTGTCCCTGATTCGTCCGATACTTGTGTCTGCTCAGGGGCGCAACCTGCCTACAGTGGAGGACTAGATTCTCTTTCATACTTCCTTCCAGCCACTAGAAGGCTGAGAATACGTCAGTTCGAAAACCTTCTAATCCAAGTATACAGTACCAAACAAAAGTTAGTGAATGTTTCACAACTTTGACTTTCATCACGCATAAAAATTAATTCATACAAGCAAATTAAGATTTTGTTTTTTATACTTGTTTATTAGTTTGTTCTTAACAAATAGAAAAAGTTCCAACGCTAAATTAGCTAAATTCAAAGAATGAAAAATAAAAAACCAAAAAAATCCACATAAACTCAATTTTGCACGTTTAAAAAAACGACTAAAAGTTAAAAAATAAAACTAAACATTTTTAATATTTAGTCTAAACCCCTTATTAGCAATAACTTTGTTGACTCTTTTTGTTTGCTTGCATGGTTAAATTTGTATGCGTGATGAAAGTCAAAGTTCTGCAACATTCACTCATTTTTGCTCGGTACTGTATGTTTAAATTAGTCGTGATTTTTAATAAGACTCAAGGAGCGAAAAACAATGCAAGGCGTTCGATTTTTAAAATTTTCCAACTTTGTCTCTCCACATATTAGATAATGTAATAGGAGTACACACAACTACGCAAAGGTCTATTCTCGGGCATTCACACAACATCCTTTGGCAAGGATGTGCACGGATTTGCAATTATAAAATATCTCAATCTGCTTTCTTTTATTGCAGGCATTCGAGAACCACCTCAAGCAAATAAAAAGCAAAAGAAAATGAAAGCATTGATAAATCAATAAAAATCATAAATAAATAAATTAGAAGAATATAAAACTGCATATCTTTATCTATATTGTTTAAGAGTTCAATTTCTAAGTATTTAGTACAACTTGTAAGCAGGTAAATTTGGTCGTATAGTAACAACAGCTTCCCTCCACATGGCAACGACGATCCTGATCCTGATCCTGATGCCGATGTCAAACATCATGTGAAATGAATCGAACGTCAATGCATAATAATGTCAACAAATATTATTTTGGGAACAACAACAACAATGATGCGTGAACAACGTAAACAACAACGACTACAACAACAAATGGAACGATGGGCGTGACACATGGGCTGAACACGCTTGAATATTGTTTTGTATTTTATTAAACAAATGTCGCCATATTATGCCAACAATGATGATGATGACATCGCATTTGCTAACACATCTTGTTATATCCGATGATTTTCGGCTTGGCCAAATGTATTTGACGAACGATTGAAAACCATATTCACAACAACGACAACAACAACGAAACGTTCATTAAACTAAATGCTATAAAAAATACCAATACACACACAAAACATACCACACACTCACACGTCACACATACGTAAAACGTACACTCTTTTTACAACACTTCCCAACACTGTCGCCGCACTTTGACTCTCACTCTCTGTGTCTGTCTCTGTCCCGCAATCAGCGCGTGCAGCGTCGCTTCGACGTCGACAGCAAGGTTTGAGAGAGTGCGTGCGAGAGCGAGACAGCATATCAGCAAAGAGAGTAAGTCTGATCGAGCCAAAGAGAAAGAGAGTGCGCAAGCATATCAAAACTTGAAATTCAACAAGCAGCTCTCGCCTAACTGTTCAACAGTCACAAACTCCCCCCACAACCAATACCAATACGCACGCCACCAGCTCCACTATCTCACTCACACTCACACTCCTTGGCATACATATATAATGGGTCTGCAGGTGGCAGCCACTTTTGTTGCAGCCAACTTGTTTGCAGTCCTGTTGCTTACCTGGATGCCAGCGACCGTCGATGCAGTCCGTGAGTACAAAACAACAATAATACCACTAAAAATAATATATACGAAAAATTAAAATAAACAAAAAATATATATGAATATATCAATTATTTTAATCAATTAACATTAAAAATATCTTTGGAAAATTAACATTTTGATTATCGAATAAACTTATTTTTTACTCATTTAAGTTGACAACTCAATATTTTTGTAGGTCACTTCTTACGTATTCTTACGTCCACATATTAAGTATTGAAACATATTCAATAAAGTTGTCGAATATTTTTTCTTTTTTATATATTTATTGAAACATATTCAACCGAATTGTATAATTATCAATAAATATTGGACTTTAAATAAAAATCATATTAATATAAATCTGAAATATTGATTTAAATATAAGCATATACTTTAAATCTTTTTTATTATATCTATATTTTTTATTTCGGTTATTAAGAATCGATTACTGATTTATAATGAATTGACTTATATCATAAACATAATTTTTATATATATTTAAAAAACATTTTTTTGTTTTCTTATAAATGATAATTTAATGACCATTTTTTTAACTTCGAAATTTTTAAATGTCAGTCTACACAAGTAAATAATTTTTAAATAAAGGTTTTTATAGTTCTTATTGTCAATACAATTTAAATAGAAAAGTTGTATAGATTAAACATATTTAAGAGCATATTTCTCGGATCTACACTTCATCTTGATGAACACACAGCCCGATTATGATAGTCCAATTTCTCGAATTTTTATTAGTTATTAAACTTGGCTCCGTCTCCTGCAAATAGTGTGCAGACATTGATAATATTGAACTTAAAAGTTTTGTTTTATGTTTATTATGCTCTGGCTTATATTGGCAATTAATGTAAAACGTATGCGAGTATCCTCCTATCAAATACCTGGGTATCGTTTGGCTTACCTCACTCCCTCTTTCGCCTCATTTTTTGGCTCAATCAAGCGAAAGTTGTAAATTTCAAATTGCTTTTCCTCTGCCTTACCCCTGCACTGAGAGAAACTAGTTTTGTGAAGTCATATTTCATCAGTCAGCGCGAATGCTATTTGGTTAAAGTGGGCGGAGCGTGGGCGGGCGAAGGCGTCGCTTGTACTAGTTTTCGGTAGCTTATGGCTTAGAGTGTAGCAAAAACTTTTGCTATATGTTAATTATGGCGCTGCATTTATTTGAGGCTTAATATAGCATGTCGTATTCATATAGTTTGCCAGTTGCCAGTTTCTCGGTTTCTCATTGAGGTTAGAGCGGGATCGAAAAGCGAGAGAGAGGGAGAGGGAGCCATAATGGAGAAGGGTGCTTGGATTTGCCAGAGGGGATATTTTCTAACTACTTCGCTGTCGCTGTCTAAGCGAAAACTTTTCAAATTATCGTAGCATCAACTTTTTGTGCGTCGTCCCGCTCATCACAGAGTGGTGGAAAGAGAGAGAGAGAGGAACATGGAGAGCAAAACCGAGTGGGTGAGAGAGGGCGAGGATGCTGTCGAGATTGGGCTGGAGCTGAGGCAAATGAATTAAAACTTGTTGCGGGAAAAAAAAAACAAAGCGAAAAATGTACCAAAAATATGTGGCTGATATTTGTGCTGCGTGGCCCACTGTGCCCTAGCGCCGTGTTGGGGGGGAGGCAGGCAGGCGAGGAATTGGCTAAAGCCAGACAAGTGGCAGCCGCTGAGCCGCTTTTGTGTCATAATTTCAAACAAACGACAAATTAGCCGGCAAGCGTTTCCGTGTGTATTCCCAAAAAGGGGCGTGGCATGGCTTTTGAGCCAGAGAAGATGGCGGGGGATGGGAAACTGCTCTCGAAGAACCATTTACATGCAATACACACGGCAAACAGCAAACAGTTTTGCATATGTTTTTAAACAAGGTTCCGCTCCCTGCACCCTGCGCCCTGCTCCCTGCCCCTGGCTCACCGTTTGCAGTCGACAAATGTTGTTGTCTAACGGTTTGTCGCTCTGTCAACGCCCAGGGCCGCTGCAATATAGATACGAGGTAGACAAACGGCGCCAGAGGGTGTGCGGGGAGGGGCGTGCGGAAGCGGAGGGGAGCGGAGCATGTCCTGCTGAAAAGCCGCAGCCCGCAACGAGTTGTACAAACATTTCACGCGGCAAAGTGCCGCATAAATTTCAATTTAATGGTTCATACGAGCACAACACACACACACACACACACACCCAGACAGACACTTATATGAAAAAAGGAGGTGCGACAAAACTGTACAACAAAAAATCCTCTGGCCAACAGGATGTGCAACATTTGCCTTTGTTGCCACCGCTGCTGTTGCTGCTGCAACTTCTGCAGCCATTTCGTATTCGTTTTTCTGCAATGTCCTGCCGCTTGTTTATTAGCCTCATGCAATGAAGCAGCCGTGCGAAAGGTGAAGCCAAAGAACAACAGCTCTCATTCCGAATGAAAATAGATATATGTACAGAGCAATATGTATATAAGTAGGTCTCTCTCTCTCTCTCTCTCTATATATATATATATATAAATGCTCTAGCGCTTAGCTTTCACCAAATCAAAACTAGAAACATTTGATATTTAGACATTCCCTCTTTGCTAGAGCTCGAATGAATTTAATTGCTTGCTCTGCAACATTTTAGTTGCACATAAATTTTGATTATTTTTGTGATGAATAAATAAAGATAATTTCATAAAATTCACCAAAACTGTATGCGTCTTAGCAGTAAAAATATATATTGTTTTAAAAATTCCTTATTAATACTTAATAATTGGACTCCAATTATTTATTTCGCACTTAGAGAGACTAATATGTATACCATATATTTATATCAATTTATTTCTCTAATATGCTATGTGTTCGTAGTTAATGACGTTAAAAATTATATTTTATTCAGTTGAAATTCATTTGACTAAAGCATAGCACGCTTCTGCTAAAATCCCCAGAACTTCATTCTCAACAGTACCACACCTACATAGCTTTAACAATACGGCGGTAGACACTAAGGCTAAATAGTTGTCTCACTCTAACAATGCAGTCAATGTTGTTCGACAAGTTGACGCTAAGCTTCATTTCTAATGAAAAAAAAACGAAGAATTTAGACGTTTCTTATATTTACACATTTGCTTTTTTCATGCACTTCAGATTCGACTATTGCCGAATCGAAAGCTAAATATATGAGAATCGGTGACAGATAATAGGATGTTAAATTTTATTTTCATTAATACCTTAATTTTCGTCATTATTATAATAAAATATTTTAAAATATTTTACGATTTTTTCTTTCAATTAACTTTTGGAGCGTTTGTCGGATTTGATTAATCCTCGTCAATTCAAATTGAGTGAAATGTCGCTATAAATTATTCCATTTTTAAATGATGAATTTTGCCTATAATATATTTTAGATTATATTTATTTCCTGATAAATCTATGACAAAAATATTAAAATCATTTTTTTTTTTTAGCTGATGAAATGTCAGTCAAAATTGTAGCACTTACATATAGATTTCACGGCATAGCCTTAATGTTCCTTTGCCTGCTCGAGCTGTCAAAACTTTGCCGAGCCTCAAATAAATGTCTTTAGCTCTACCTTTCTTAGCTTGATCTGACAACTCGTTTAATTTTGCACTTACAACTTGTAGATGGCCTTTTACGCGCGGAACAAACATCAACAAAGTGCTATATTATGTAGCCAACTTTTATGGTAATTATGAGAATATTAAAAGAGAGATATATATGTATGTATAATTTTGATGGGGCGTTACGTAATTAGTGAAAAATAAGAGAGGAAAGTATTTATTTGTGCGGTCGTTGCGTTCGGCTACGCCTGTCATTTTCAATTGTCGGCGATGGCTGCAGACGCTGCAGATAAATGTTGATTTATATGACCCTGGCCTCGGCGGCCAGGTCCTGCGACATTAATGTGTTGACATTTGGGACCTCTCCCGAATGGAAATGGAACAGCAACAACAACAACAATAGCGACAAAAAAAAAAGAAGAAAACTAACAGCTTTTTGCTGTAGCCCATCAGAGGAGACGACGCACTCGGAGAGATAGAAGGGCCAGTTGTAATGAAAAGTAATAATATTAAATTAACAGAACTCTCAGGAATTGAAGCCACTGAGACAGTCAGATATAGAGAGACAAAGAGAGAGAGAGAGAGAGAGAGCGAGAGAGCGGGACGACTCGAATGGGAACTGGGAATGCGGGCCGTTTCCACTATTATTTTCTGGCTAGGCCCGTCTCGCAGTAACATCTTATTTATGGTCTCGTTTCTCGTAAAAATTTGTTATTTAGATTTATGGCGCTTTGCTCTTTATTGTTGCTACTGTTGTTCGTGTTGCTGTTGTTGTTGTTGCTGCCACATTTATTTATCTGCGCTTTCGCTTTCTTTTTTTTCTTCCTTTCTTCTCTCGTTGTTTGCCACTGAAATTTTAGAGCCACTTTGCTTGGTCACTTTGCCACAAAGAGGCAACAAAAAAATAAATAAAATACAACAACAACAACAAAAAAAGTGTGATAAATGCCAAAGCATTATTATTGCTGAGCATTGGCGCAGGGGGCAGTTAAGAGCCTGTTCAAGTACTTCGTATATGGGCATGTTTGCTGATCTAATGATATGATGGCATTAATAAAACGCATTCGCATTCCCATTCCCATTCACATTCGCATTTGCCTGCCCCATTTGCCCAACTGTCTGGTCTGTCTTCAAGTCTAGGGGGCAATCAGCATAGGAACAGGCATTGAATCCTGAACAAATGAGGAATGGGAATTGTAAAAAAATCGACTTTATTTAAACTGTTCGTAGTTTGGCTATGATAGATCCATGAGTTCAATTGCTAGAAAATGTTCATGAATAAAGCTCAATTTTAATTCATAGTTTCTGGATGAATATTCGAAATTTCCATTTAATTGCAACTGTTGGTACTTTTCTTATGAATGATCCCTTATCTAAACTGCTTGATATTTTTACGAATAAAGTAAATTTTTGAAATTTTAATTAGTTTCCTGGTTGTGTTTCATTTTCATTTTGTTCCAAC